AACTTGTCCATACGAGTAAATTTATAGTGCAATACTTGCGCTGTGTTAACTTGTGCAGTCTGATATATAGAGCGAATGGTACTCCCTCTGTCCTATAATTATTGTCCACTTTACCCAAAAAATTTTGTCCCCAAAATTATTGTTCAATTTGACTCTTTATGGATCAAGTTACACATTTGTTCTTTATAAAAAACATTATCCATAAAATCTTAATGGTTAAATAATTACTTATGTAGGGGTATATCCGGTTGTTTAAGGTAAAATATAGTTAAGTTTGACCAAAAATAAAATCTTTCATTTTAGTAAAACTGGACAATAATTATGGGACAAAGGGAGTACTAATTTTACCGGAGAGAGAGAAAAAAAATACACGGAGTCTTAAAAATAATAAAGTTAATTCCTACTAATTGGTTGCACTCAAGAGATGCATACAAATGTTGTATATTAGATTTTTCCTGTAAATACATCCCAAGTTTTGGATTGGCATGCAAAATTTATTGCAAAATTTGAAATATAACAGTTTTAAAATAATTTTATTTCCAAAGAGAGACTTATCATAATAAGTATAGCTAGACAATAAGAATTTCTTGCAACATCAGACACATTGTTCCCAAAACAAAAGAAACACTTTTTAGTTAAAATGCAAAACTTGAAGTGAAATGTCTCTAGACACATGGAAAACAATTTTTTTGGGGGATTTTAATTTCTGATAAATATTAGAATTTATATTAAAACTACAAGAGATGGTAGAAATGGTTTATTAGGTTATGGGTGTAATATACTTTTCTGTATAATCCAAAAGAATTAATTGTTTAAGCAAATTAAACAACTACATTATCAATGGGCACAATATAAGGAGTCGCAATGTTTTTTTTTTTTTTTTTGGTAAGAAGAGTCGCAACGTTAATTATGGAGAATTTGTTGGATTTTTTGCTGTCAACTAGTGTATTGATATTTGTTGGATTTCTTTGCTATAAAAAAATGTCATATAATCCACTGTAAAGTTTAATTCTCCATAAACATCATTCAAATCAACCCATACCATCCTTAACAAATAATTAACAGCCTTAATCAATCTACCATATATGCGGACAACATTTTCTTTCGATTTTTACTGAGACTTACATTGTTTTGAAGAACTTCTACCTGTTTTGACGACAGTGGGTTATGACATTTAAAGTAGCAGTACTAGGAGATTTAAATCCAACCCTCGAACTCGAACAATTAGCAGTTTTTTTTTATTTTTAAATAAAAATAGAGAGAGAGAGAGAGAGAGAGAGAGAGAGAGAGAGAGAGAGAGAGAGATATGATAATTAATGAAAATTTTGCTCCGGATAAAAAACAAACCGTACATGGATTTTGACTTTTTCATTCTATTTTGATGGATCCGGAAGGTCCAGAAGTGAATATATGGCCGAAATTGTTAGCCAAAAAAAAAAAAAAGAAGTGAATATATGGTCTTAAAATGATTTTCTTGCTTATCATAATAATATAATAAGTAGAACAATTATTTGAGGACACAGAAAATAATAGTGAAGGAAAATAAGTATATGCATCTTTTTTTTGGGGGAGTGTACAATGAGTAAGCAAAGCTTGAATCATCATACGGCATAAATTCTTGGAGAAAGCGATCAAGTAAAGTAGTAAACCCTATCTATTTACATGCTTTATTTCAATCAAAGGTGTATGCTGATCGCTAAACAGCAATGGAATTTTTTTCATCAGACAACGTTATGACAAGTATTGAAACAGAATATTCCATGTGGTAGAACACTATTGAAGGCCACAATCAAAGAGGGAAACAGTACAGTATTCTTCGATGCGTTTGATGATTTAGACAATTTTTTTTTCTTTTTCTGGTTAAGAGGTTATTTGTTCTATGTACTTTTCTATACTCTTTTGAAACAAGATGATAGTCTATTCATTCTGAAATAATTATCCAGATTTTTAGCTCTAATGTAAAATTTAATTAAAAATAAAAATTCAAACAAGACATAGAAAATAAATTTATTACTGACATGTATTCTTGAGAATAAATCGTTTAATACAAATTTTTATTATGTGTTAGAATTACTCTCTTCAAGAAATCAAATATAGTTAAAAAAAAAAAAGAGAATACTTCTTGTCTTCTTGACCAAAAAAGAAAAAATTTCTTCCTGAAGGGGAAGAAAACCCAAAGAAGAAGAAGAGAAAATGTCTTTCCGAAACGATTTTCTCGATTAGATTCACCTTCATGGTTCGTTGGTGGCTCAACCACAATAATGCAGGATCTTTCTACTATCGAGTTGTTTTGTAACCTTTTGAAGTATTATTATTTCCATATTCATAAGGAAAAAAAAAAAACTCAGGAGGCCTCATCAGCTAGCTACTTAGGCATCACGATATCATAAAATTCTTCATAACGTAAAGAACCATAATTAAGTAATATTGCTGAGTTAAAATGTGTAGCATCTGAAATATATACCATATTATTATATGAACTTAATCAATTAGGGCGGTGATAAATCTCTAAGTCCACGTTTAGAAGTTTATGGATCGAGTTCTGTTTAAGATGTATGGGTTTGTTGGTGTTTTGAAAATGACTACTGCCCCATTCTTCCTTGAACAAAATAAAAGAAAGTAAATTCATTAAACACTCTACTCATCATCAATTGTGTTGTAGTAAAAAATTATTAATGATTCTTAAAATGTCACAATTTTTTTAGTTATTTTTGTTTTGGACTCACTTCACTATAAATTGGATTCAATTCGTGAACGTATTAAAAACTTAATATGAATCTTATATTAGGTCATTTTCTTAAACTATAATACAACAAACAAGATAAAAATAGTTAATTATCATTTATATTTTACCTGTAATTTACGATTTTATCCACAATGTTATCACATTACTATTGTAATTGTGTTTTTTCTTATAGGGTTCTACCCAAACAAGGGAGCTCTCCCAGAAATTCTTGATGACCTAGTGACAAGTAGGGGCAAAAGAGGAGATTTTGAGATAGTTTTCAACCAACAATAGACGCTCCTCGTTTAGAAGTTAGAACTTCACGAACTGTGTCACTGCACCAAACTCATATATTACTACTGCTTTATATATGTTAGTGGTACTAATTAAAATTTTAAATCAAATCATTCAGAAAAGGATAAAAAAAAGGAAATAATAAAAATTCTAGCCCCTTGAACCTGCGTAAAGCTCTACTTTTAGCATAAACATATATTAATGGAAGTCACCTTTCTAAATCAGTCATGTTGGTGCATTTTTTTCTTCCATTTAATTAACGCGGTTAACTGCCCTTACCCGAGAAATGTCGACATTCCATTAAAATATCACTTATAAAACAGGATTAAATTATTGGATTAGCCATTTAGTACAACGTCAAGAAGGGGCACAAGATATACGATTAGGTTCTGGAAAGTGATGGAAATGATATATTGATTTGATAGTGAATAAAAAGTCAAATTAACCAAAAGACTCTACAGACTTATGTATTGACTATTAAAGGCTGCTAATTATAATAAATAAATTGACTTAATTACCTCATAATCTACTTTTGTAAAATATTTTTGTTAAATTTACTTTACTTTTTTGATTAGAAAGGTCAATTCCATTGGCTTTAGGACAAAGAAAAAGGTGTATGCTACTGGTGAAGACACTAAAATAATTATGATTAATTATTGTCCTCATTAAGGATAGTTTCATTATAGATAAAAAAGTAAACAAAGTCCGCTGCGCACTACTTTAATAATAATCAAATCAAAATATCATTAAAAGAGTAAATAAAAATTTTGTTTTTATTTTTTTTTTTTTTTTTTTTTGTACAATAAAAGGAGGCATAAGCCTAGCTTAGGTGATTAAAACCTTCCTTGGATATGAGACACCAATTGTGTCATGTTGTAGCCAAGGAATAGCATCTGAGAGGGGATCATACAAACGCGAAAAGCCAGTACTTCCCATGAACGCGAACGATGCCAAGAAATCTACAACAAAATTTGCCTCACGAAACACATGTACAACTTGGACTTCCCACCTCCGGTTCTGCAACTCCCGGATGGCCATTGATGTGGTAATTTCAGATAATGATGTAAATAGTTATCTGCCCAAAATTATGTTTCGATTCTTAACGAAAAATATTTCAACAAACAGAACAAAAGTCATTTTTAAAGGCGGCATTTGAGGTGTTTTTGGAGATGTTTAGATAAAAAAAGTATTAGAAGCCAATGTAACAAAAAGATTTTATTGGAAAAATAACACGTCATAAAAAAAACATCGAGTAAAGTAAGGGTTATATTTTCCTTTAGTTTTATCAGATGGAAGACAGGTTTCAGACTGGTTTTAAAAAAAACCTATAACCAAATGTGTTTTTCTTTTTTTTTTTTGGGACAACAACTTTTTTCCTATGTATTTTAGATATATGCACGGGAAAATTTAGGATTAAATAAAGATAATTTAAATCAGCTTCGGCTGAATTCAATCATTTGCAACAGATATGTGATTATAAAATAATCAATTGTTTATGGTCCAAATCTTGGCTCGTGCTCTGTTGCTGCATCATGTTTTGAAATGTATATTTTATTTCGAAGTAGATTAGATTACAAAAAGTATGGACAAGGAACACTGTTTAACCACACTTTTCCCCCCTTTATTTTTTTTATAAAAAAATCGAAATGAATTTGGATTGTACAATATCAAGACAAAGAAGTCTCTAAAGGAAGTTGACAAATCAATTGAAATTTTCAAAAACTGTCACTGCTTTCCTTCTAAAATAATAATCTTCTTTAAAATAATCAACGAAATTAGTGATACATTATTTCTTAATGGATATAGAATGGAATCAGGGAAATCATTGACAGAACAAAAAAAAAAAAAATAGTGGTGAGATGGTAAAAAAGAAAGGGAAAAAAACTTGTAATGAATGTGGAAAAAGACCAGTAAAAAGCAAATGCAAGAAAAAGGGCAAAAGAAACATAATAAACAAAGTAGAAAAATCTGATCTAAACTGGTTTCCCTTATCATCAAAGACCAATGTTTGCTAGCTTTATATATAAAAACAGTGAAATGATTTATTTTTCTTTTTTTTTCTAAAAACAAAAGAAAAAAATTCACTATATATTTTCTTTCTTTTATTGATTCTTCAACAACAAACAACAACGTCTTGTCACTCCATTCATTTTTTTTTTTGAGTCTCACAAAACACTTCTCACCTCCGCCGTTTCCCACCACCACCACCACCACCCAATCAGCCACCGCCGTCAATCCATCCGATCAGACAGTATCATATTCCCCATGAAGAAATAAAAATAATTATGACAACATCCATTTCTTCATTTCTTTTTATTATAATATATGATGCTTCTTAAATCTGAGTTCTTCCTCATCTTCTGCTTATTCCTTCATCCCAAATTACTACAAGAAGAACCCTTAACCTAAGGGCTTTTAGTAATGGTTGACTAAACCAAAACCAACCCACTTTAGGGTTTTCATTGTTTTTGAGTACTTGATTTAGGGTTGAGCTCTTTCCTCTCTTTTCTTTCTTTCTTTCTTTCTTTTTTTTTTTTTTTGGTGAAGTTTCTGCAAGAATGGAAGAATATGGTAATCAGCTGGGAGAAAACAGTGGAGGAGGAAGAGGAGGCGGAGGCGGAGGCAGCTTCTTGTACGGAGGCGGCGGCGGACCGGTGTTAGCGCCGCCGAGTTCATCTGTATATGCAAGAACAAGCAGCGGGTCAAACGGTCAACAGAATCAACTTCCGATGAACAGTACTGCTTTCCAGCTTCATTCCGGCGAGTGTTACGATCAATCCGACGGCCAAAACCACCACCCGACGGTTAAAACCGAAGCGGGTTCTTCTCATCATCATCATCATCATCAAGGACAGAAGTTTCACTACCCTTCTATAATCCGAACTCATCATCATCATCAACATTTACAACAACAAAGAGATGAAAATGAAAGCGGAAATAATGGAAATTCAGATGAAGCCGATGCTATTAAAGCTAAGATAGTTGCTCACCCTCAATATTCCGACCTTTTGGATGCTTATATGGATTGCCAGAAGGTATTAAACTTTTGCTTAAACAATGCCTTAAATTTTTTTTTTCTAGAAAAGAAAAGAGAAAAAATTAAAAAACTAGATCTTCCTTATTTATTTATTATTTTTTTTCTTGTGCATGTGTGTTTTAATAATAATTAGGTGGGAGCTCCGCCGGAGGTGGTGGCGCGGCTTACAGCAGTCCGGCAGGAGTTCTTGGCGAGGCAGCGAGCTTCCATGGCCGGGAGAGACATCTCTAAAGATCCAGAACTTGACCAGTTTATGGTTATTATTTCTTCATCCCTCAACTTTTCTTGATTTCTGGGATGGTGGAAATATAATGTTTTATAAGAAGTACTTCTGTTTTTTTTTTTTTTTTGGTTGTTGTATTTAGGAAGCTTATTATGATATGTTGGTGAAATATCGAGATGAACTTTCGAGGCCATTACAAGAAGCTATGGAGTTCATGCGAAGAGTCGAATCTCAGCTAAATATGCTTGGAAATGGTCCCGTCCGGATCTTCAACAATGGTAGTTATATTTCTTCTATTATTATCATCATCACTACCCATTTCTCCCATTCTTATCTTAAACTAGGAAAAACAAAAAGGAATGTCCATTTTGTTGTTGTCAAATGTCAAGCCAAGCATGGAAAAAGAAATCAATCAAACCAAAGAAAAAAGAATAAATATCACTGCTGGTATTTCTTTCTACATCATAGACTAGTAGTAGTAGCTGATGAATGGTTCTGAAATAAGCTTGCTTTTTTTTTTTTTGTGTGTGTGTGTTTTCCATAGTTCCAAAGTGCAGTGTTGGTACTAACAGTTCAACTGTCCGAGGACTAGAGATGTTGGGGCAGTGTCAATTTAATGCTTTCCCGTGTGGCTTTCTTTTCTTTTCTTTCCATTTTTTTCCCAGTTAAGAAGCATGCAACTTTGACTGGTAAACATCAATATTGTCAGAGTGTTTTTTCCATTTTTTTTCTTTAAGCTGGATGTACTACAAGGTGGTGGTGGTGCCCTTAATCTGTTGTTGCCTTGTCACGAGATGAGTGGTGCCAATAAAAAGAAACAAAATATAAAACCCTAAATCACGAGTCCACAGTAAAGGGGAGGAGGGGGATATATGATTTTTGTTTCTTTTTAACCAAACTAGTAGAAAATGAAGTATCAGCAGATAATTTCACACGTTTGCTTTGATAATATACTCCAGTTAGCTTTTTATTGCCTCTGTTGACTCTTCTGACATTGTCTCCAGCTCTTATTAAGTTAAAGTTAATCCCTTGTGCCTTTCAGACATGCAACAAATGCCTTGAGTAGAAGGGGAAATTACTATTGTTGTCATTTCCAAGTTTGCATTTTGCTTTGATTTGCTTTTTTTGGTGGGGGAGCCTTTAGGCCCTTGGAAATATGGAAATACTTAGGATGCTGTTCATATCAGTGCTGCTGCCCCCGTCCCACCCCATGTAGCTCTGCATGCCATTGTCAGAATTCTGTTCACATTTATTTCTTTTTTTTGAAAAGAAAAATGCATCTGCTATTTGTTTGTTTTCGTTTCTTGCATTAGCCAGAATGCCATGCTGTTTTCTATATGGAAGAAGTCTTTCTTTTTTTGGTTTTTTCTTAGTGCATTAATGGCTTTGTCACCGGCTCCAGCAACATGATTTACATGGTGAAAACATGGCAGAAGAAACTGGTTGTATAACTGACACATAATTAATTTGTTAAAGGCAGTAACACTAAAATTTTGTGTATAGAGCTTAGCACTTATGTAGGATTTTGATACTCGGTATGAGTACATTGATTTTGAGAGGTTTTATGAATTTTGATTAATTTGAAGTGAAGTTTCCATCTCTAGCTTTAGTTGCCTCCTCCATCTAATAAAAACGTCTCCCATCTGTTTGATGTAAATTGAGTAAAAATCTTTGAATTTTCCCCTATTAGCTTTGTCAAATCTTTCAAAGCCCAATTAAATGATGCTCAAAATCTTCATGACCCTTGCGGTCAGGAAATGGTTTACTTCGTTGATGCTATCATGCATCCTTTTACATACATTTGTGTAATGTGTTTGCTACTTTTAGTTGCCATTTCTATTTTCTTTAAAAAACTTTTTGATCATTTCCCTTCATTTAATTAGGACAATCAGGGTAAGATTTTTGTTCTTTCTTATTTTTATGCTCATGTTCTTACATTCGTTCTTTGTTGTTTTATTCCCAAAATCATCACTCTCTTGTTGGTGAGACATTTTTTGGATATTGTGGGTTCTCTTGGATTCTCAACAAATTAGAAAGAGAAAAGAGAAGATGCTACCATGCTCTCTTGCGGTCACTTATTAAGTAATTAGTCTAACTCAATATTTCAGTATTATCCAACTATAACTCGAAGCCAACGATTTGAGCATGAAAACTAGGTTCTTTCAGTATAAATTTTTTCCATTTTTTTTTAATGGCAATTATTTTACTTCTATTACATGAATGTCTTGGCATCCCTTTTTAAATTGCAATACCCAATTTCAGTTTACGGGCTTCTAGTTTCATTATTTAAATTCATGAACGAGGTGGTGCATGCTAGAAATCTGACTTAGGATAATCAGGTTAAGATTATCAATGTTTTAATCTGACTGAGCTCTTTGATTGTTGAGCTTCTATCATTATTATAACCATGGGAGCATCTACAACTTGTGACTTTTCTGGGAACAAAAGGGTCATCTATGTGGTAGTGTGTACATGGAGTCTTTTTTGAAATGGGTGTGTACATGGAGTTAAGAGGATGTTATTCTGTGATTTGCATGTTTTATACATTGATTTGTGATCAATTTTAGTTTATATACTACATCTCTTCAGTGGCTTTCACATCTGCTTATTCTGATTCGAAATAACTTGACAGATGAGAAATGTGAGGGTGTTGGATCATCTGAGGAGGACCAAGATAACAGTGGTGGGGAAACAGAACTTCCTGAGATAGATCCCCGAGCAGAAGACCGGGAACTGAAGAACCACTTACTGAGGAAGTATAGTGGATATTTGAGTAGTCTCAAACAAGAACTTTCAAAGAAAAAGAAGAAAGGCAAACTCCCCAAAGATGCTCGACAAAAGCTTCTTAGCTGGTGGGAATTACACTACAAATGGCCATATCCTTCGGTAATGATTGATCTATGCTCGAGGTTATATTAGATGTGTACTTCACCTGTCCTAGAAAAATGATCAATTAGTTATAAAGTGGTCTACTTTTCCTGGGACCTAGGGTAGAATTCATTTAACTAGTTTCCCTTGTGTGCATTTTCATGTTCAGGAGACGGAGAAGGTGGCTTTGGCTGAATCAACTGGACTAGACCAGAAACAGATCAATAATTGGTTCATAAACCAAAGGAAAAGACACTGGAAGCCTTCTGAAGACATGCAATTCATGGTTATGGATGGACTTCATCCGCAGGCTACTGCCCTCTATATGGAAGGTCACTACATGGGTGAGGGTCCTTACAGGTTGGGGCCGTGAATGACTGGCGGCATTTTGGACAAGTTTTTCAGCCAATAAGGGATGTACATTTCCATGGCTCCTTGTGAAATTTGGTTATTAGTGTGTGTCGAAAGGCGGAGCTCTATATTACTTTTGATGGAACACAAGTAGAAACTTTCCTTGTGTGGAGACGGTATGTTTTGGAACCTGAAAGAATGTTCAAGTAAGGGTTGCATGATTTAGCTTTGCGTAATGATTGTTTGAAAGTTTTCAATGAAGCTGCTATCATGTAATGATCAGGTCATCCAAAAATACCAGTCTCTTTTAGACTTTTTCATATGCGTTTTGCCTCCAAAAGAGGGGCCTACTATGATTTATCTCATTGACTATGGTTTTGTAATATGTATAGAACTGATTAAGCATTTGACTTTTCAAGGTTGATCAGACGCTAAGAATCTGTGTTGTTTTTGTGACAAATTGTGAGAATGTGATAAGTACTATTATTATGTGCATGCTTTGTTAGAATTTTGCTAATATTCTTGAAGAATAAAAATATTTATCCAGAACAGAACAATCTATCTCTATTTATGTTTCTAAAGAATAACGATATTCATTGAAAGGAGTTATAAGTTCAAATTAATCAGATCATTTTTAACTAAGTCCCAACTCTGGGGGGAGGGTATCATACTCTGAATCCAGTTCATCGTAGAATTAAGAAGAAATGAAGCAATGTACGTATAAACTTTAATGAAAGAAACCTATAATAGTAATTGATAAAAGATACCAAAACAAGGAATCACTGTCTGAAGAATTGCTTGTCCAGATTTAAGAATCCAAATCTAGTTTTTATTTCTAAAAAAGAGAAGTGAAATGGCGGTTGTAAAGACCCTTCAATAAATGAAACTAGTCTCAAAGGCGCAGCTTCTCCATGAACGTGTACGTTGTACTTTAAGTTCATTACCCAATCTCGAGCCTGTAGGTATATCCTCAGGATCAGAAGTCGTGGATGTCCATGGTTTGAATTCTGAAAGAAACATTTTGTTTATAATCATGAAATGAAACCACAATACTACTATCTCAACGTGGTCTATGTATCTATATATATATATATATATATATATATATATTTTGCTAGAGAGTATAACAATCTTTATCCCAACAAAAAGAAAAAAAGATAAAGAGAAAAAGAAAGGAATAGTAAGGAATAGTATGATCTTCTTGGCCATCTCATGTTATTTCCAATTTTAGCTGGACTCAAGTAAACCAATGGGCTTCAACAAGATCCTACAAATTGGTCTGCTGAAATATTGATTTCTTCTGTCGAAAAACCAATAAGATATCCGAAGCAGTATTATTATTATTTTTTTTTGGCAAACAGTACAACTGATGCCAAATTTTTTACGAAACATAATCTATACCATTTCAAGGATTAAAAAACCAACCAAATTTATACGAGTTTTGTACGATCCTTCATATTTTAAGGAAGATAATGTGCATGATACTCCTCCTATCCTGAAAAAATTCAATTTGTTGAACTGAACACTATAAAAAAGTAGTTTATTTTCCTGCAACGAAGGGATCAGTATAACACTTGGTCTTACAACTTTGTTATTCAAATATCTCTGGGCACAAAGCCTTACAATATTAAGTTGTTGCTTACAAACTATCTAGCTTTAATTAATCGAGACACATAACATTCTCTCAATGATGTAATCAATGAAAACATGTAGTGGAATTAAATTGTGATTAATATAATGTATGTAAATGTCTATATTTCCTCAAGTGTATGATTGTTGAGTGGAAAGAGAGCATGTTTTTATGCATAAACAATTATATTTTACCTGTGAGTCGTGACAACGTTTTATTTTTTTTAAAAAAAAATTTGCATTTGAAACATGGTAAGGCCAGTTTTTAGCTATGCGTGGCCAATTTCCTCAAAAGGCCAATGGTGAACTCTCTCTCTCTCAGACTCTCACAAGGGTAAGGCCAATTTCTTACGAATAGATGTCTCCAGAAATGACCAAAGGCCGAATATGCCACAAAATGGTTAACGCAACTCTATTTTAAAAAAGAGGGGCTAAACTTCAACCATAAAATAATAAGACTATTTACAAACCAAAAAATATAAAGATCGGAAACGAATTCAGCTCACATTGTAAGAGTCCTCATAAAATAATAGCTTTGATGTTTCATAATTTGGATTTATTATGTACACATAGCTTTCCAAATTACGATTGGGTTATTGTACTTTCTAGTCAACTTATTGCTGTCGAAACATATTTGTCATCCATTTAGATTTTCGGACACGTCCCGCTCCTGTTTACCGACATCCAACTGAAATTAATAACTTTCATTTCTCTCTCTCTCTTCTCCGTTCGACCTCTCTAACTTTGTAAAATTTTCATCCGTTTTGCTTTGATAATTTACTTTATTAATCTGACATAATATGATAAAATTAATTATTATAATGAGACGTAAGGAGTATAAAATTTTCAAAGAAAGTGTCGTTCGTACGTCGGTCGTTAAATGAGTTTGGCTCAAGCTCTCTCTTTTTAATCTCAAGTTTTATTAATGATGGCATAAAAGGCTGCATTAAGTGAATCGAAGTGATGATCATGACCTTAGTAAGTTAAGATGGAATATAGTATTTCCTCTGTCTCATAATTATTGTCCAATTTGCGTTTTCATTTCTAGTTCAAATTGTACTAAAAGTAGAATCTTAAACTGGACAATAATTTTAGGATAGAGAAAATACATATTAGATTAGGCGGGTGGTTATGGCCGACGAAAATAGACAACCTACGACGTGGAGTATGACGAACAAAGTTTGGTGCTTAATGATAATTATCATCAACAACAGTAAGCCAAAGATGACAAATTAGTACCACCGTTTGATTGGTGAGGATGCTGTGTCTATGTAAGCTCCACCTGATTTTCATCCATTAAAAATATACTCTCGATCGTTCTATTTTAATATACAATCTATTTGGTTGAAAGTTGAAACAATACATCAATATAGTTAAAATAAAACGGAGAAAGTATCAAACGTAATTCTTTACATGTTAAGTGCTATCATTCCTGAGGAACGCCTCCTTTGGACGTTTTTACTCCTATCATAAAATTAAAACACATAAATCCTTTTATTCTTTCTCTCCAAATCCTCCCAAACTCAAACAAAAAGAAATAACATAAATTCTTCAATTCGGGTTGCAAGAATGAAGAATCCAAGAGGTCATGGTCGAGACAAAAGTCTATTGGCAAATTAAGTAAGTGTTTCAATTTGTTTAAATTTTTTTTTTCCAAATGAAAAAGAAAAAAAAAGAAATAGAAAAAGGGACTGAATACATGTGCCGCCGGCCAAAAACAGTGGGGGGGGGGTAAGTTTTTTTTTTTAAAGGTCCGATTTGATAAGTATTTTGATTGATTTGAATTGAAAAATTCATGGGTGGCATCGTATTTGGGTGATTTCGTCGGCGGCGGAACTGTTTGTTCGTTCCGGTTTCGAAAAAAGAAAGAAAAGTTGGCGGAGCCGATTAGACGTTCAGAGTAAGCGCTTGACTGGCGATCACAGTGTCCACAACGGACTCTTTGTTCGTAATTTTAATGTCTAGACTGAAGGTTTTAACCAACGGCTAGGCGTAAACAGCGGACGCCGGTCCAATGCGACGATCACGCCTATTCGGCAGTCTCAGAGTCCGAAGTATGCGCTTTTCCGCCCGTGTTGACGTCTGTTTAGGACGCTTGCACCGCCGGTGGAGCGCCCCAAACACCCACCCAGCCTGAAACTTTTTTTTTTTTATTTCTTTCTTATTTGAATAAATTTCAATTAAAAAAATTAAAAAAGTAAGAAAAATTACCTCAAAATCTTCGCCTCCACCATGATCCATTTGATCCGCCGCCTCCGGATTCAATAATTCCTTTTATTTTTGTTTAGAGTTTGAGAGAATTTTAAGAGGAGAAAGAAAATAGAGTGAGTTATGAGATTCTAAATTATCACAGGGATAAAAACGTCCAAAGAGGGCGCTCCCTAGATAACTTTTCTTTTGGGTTATATAAATAAAAATAAAATTTGGTACACAAATATTGAAACCGCAATACGCTTCAATACAAAAACAAGCTGACAACATGATTGCCATTAATTTGTCATATCTTGAAGGTTACAACAACCTCCATCATTAAATAATTGAAATGTTTGAAATTTGGTCAGATTTATTACCAGAAGCATTGATTTTGTTTCGTTTTCATGCAAACACATTATTCCCTCCCCCCAAATTCCTAGGTTGAATCAATCATTAAGTGTACTTCCATTGATAAACAACTCAGAAAGTCGTAATTTTGTTGCAAGGACTTCAATTATCCCAATTATGGAAGTGATTAGTCGCTTGTACAAACCGGGTCCTAATGTTCTGTGAACGGGGCCAAAAAATATCCTCTCCAAAAATTCGTGACTTGATCAAGCAAAACAAGAAGAATAAACCAAAATGACTGAGGATAAACAGAAACACGAGTTTAGCGGCAAAGATAACTGTCAAAGTTGCTCATTACATTATTCCTCTTGTCGGGTATGATTCCACTTTCCATTCTTAACTAAGCTGACTTTCAGAATTTAAAATTCTGAAAGGAAGAAATTCACTATCTGACCAAACCAAAATATCTGTTAATATTATCATAAATGAAAGAAAAAAACTCTTATTTATATTTTGACTTTTTTTTAAAAAAAATATTTTTAAATTTCATAAGTTGGGCTCATCGCTAGGTCATAAAATTGAATTATTCAAATATCTACCGTACTCTCGAAATAATTGTTTTATTTGTTTAGTACTAGAAATGTAATAATTGAAGTACGTATATCAATTATCGCAATTCCGTACCAGCAGGATTGAAATAATGCAAACTTGCCGACTTTCTTGATCAGGAATTGCGCTTTTTTGCAAGCTTGTGGACATTAGGAAGTGATTTCTTAGTCATCATTTGATAATCATCGTTAATCATGATTGATGAAATTAAGGAATATAACTCGATAAAAAGTTGTAGTATATATCATCTGGACCTGAATACTTTACAGGATACATGTACAAAAAGAGTTCGAAAAGAGGGTACTAATTAATATCAAGGAATTCCACATTTTCTGCTCAACTCACAAATATTTTAAAACATGACATATGTACCTCTAATCTCATCCATATTATGTTGCAGCTAAATTAATTTAATACTGATGGATCATCATCATCATCATATCAATCCTAATTAAATTTAAAATTAATTTGATCTAGCAAGCTGCTGAGGGGTGATTGGCAAAGGGATTATACAAGTGAGACTTTCCTCCAATGGAGAAAGATATTCTTGAAGAACTCTCACCGGAACCACCACCACTAGCAGCAACGCCGGTGGCAGCGCTGATCGTCTCGCAAGACGGACACATGGTTAGGGTGGCTGCCGGAAGCTGCATGTAAAACGGGGTCGGTGGTACGACCATTTTCATGGCTTTTAGCTCTTGAAGTTCTTTGCGCAATCTTTTGTTCTCTTCCTTTAATGTCTCGCAGCATTTTTTCAATATCTCAAAGTCCACTTCCGTTTGCTTCAATTTTGTCCTAAAAAAAAAAGAAAAAAAACATGGTAAATTCAGTTCATGAATTCACGTTTGTTCAAGCCCAAAATTTTCTCAAGTATATTAAGAATAATGAGTTCTAAGTATTAATCATGCATGTTTACATCTAATTCTGACTAAATAATCAAATTGTCGATGCGATAATCAAAATTATAAAACATAAATATATACCTGGCTCTTCTGTTTTGAAACCACACCTCCACTTGTCTTGGCTTTAAACTTAATTTGTTGGCTAAGGCTTGTTTTTGCTTCTGTGATAATCAAAAGTAAAAAACAAAAAGTTGTTAATTTTTGTAATCTTTTTTTTTTTTTTGAATTTTTGTAATCTTTTTTTCAGAGCAAAGACCAAAAATGAAAAAGAAAGTAAAATTTAAAAAGGGTTAGGAAATTTACTGGATTGAGAGTACTATGTTCTTTGAAACTTTCTTCTAACACAAAAGCCTGTTCTTTAGTCAATCTCAGCTTTTTCCTCGGACCCTCTTCATCTTGTTCTTGATCCGCAACATTAGTCTTGCCGGAATATCTTTCTTCCTCCACATCTTGATCATCAGTACCACTAACTTCTCTGATTTCCCTTTTCACACTCGAATTCGAAAACGATGAAACTGCACTACCTGAAGAAGCTTGCTGCTGCTGATGTCCTCCTGATCCATGCACAAGATCAGTAATACTAGATTGATGATGATGATGATCAATAACAACATCTTTTGGAGTAACATCCATTTTTAAGGTTTTTTCGTGATGATGAAGATGATCTGATGAAAAGCCCAATGTAAGAGAAGGAAAAGATTTAGGTGATGATGAAGATGATTCATGTTTTTGGAGATCATTTTTGTTAATACTAACAGAACCTAGACCAAGACTAAGTCTAGTATTGCAAATATCAGGACATGAATCAAACACCATGTTTTTTAAAGTTCAAGTTGAAGAAAATAAGATGGTTGTCAAAAATTGCAACAAGAGGAGAGAAGCTTATATAAACACACATATGAGATGAAAGTGATCAAAGTGGTTGATGGAAGGAATCGAATATATATCGTGATTTATGATGATGAAGTTGTATACATTTGGTGAGAGAGAGAGAGAGAGAGAGAGCAATAAATCAAAGGGAAGAATGAGTAGAGAAAACGAATCTAGACTATGACATTATTATGAAAATCCCCATCTCCATTTGTCTTCTTAGGTTGACTAAATGTTAAAGGCAACCAAACCATAATAAATAAATTAAAAACTACCATATAGAGCCCCTTCTGTTTGTTTACCTTTCATTTTCAATTTTATTTAGCCAATTTGGAGTCTGCATCAAAGCCAATCTATCGTGTTGTGTATGATGATGTATAGAGAATAGATGACATGGGTAGTACGTGGAATCACGTAAAAAAGAATAGTTACTTGAGAAGTGGGGTGTGTGCACACTAGAACAAGAACACACAATAAGAGATTGGAATTTGGAATGGTTCGCCACCTTTTCACCTTTCTATTATATACATTTCCAGTGAAATTGGTATATTTTGAGGCAATGGTAGGCCATATTTGGTTTTTGGCTTCGTGAACTTATTTACTTTGTAACCACTTTATTATACATTCTAGACTCCATCGATATCTGATATCTCACAATTATTAATCAATTAGTAAGAATTTCTTTGGTTACAATGGAAGACACAAGTTTAAATCTAAATGATTCATCGTGTTTTCACGTATGTGATGCTTCTTTATAATATCATGATTCTAAAGCATATATAAGAGTTTTTTAGGGGATGAAAAATAGAAAAACGGTAAGATCAGTTATGAAAAATGGAAACATCTTTATTCTTTTACGGAAAAAAAAATTGGACCTATTCATCATTATATATCGGGTAATCCTATTCTTCTAAGAAAAAGGTTATTTAATCACACTAATGGCATACAAAAATTTCTACCTCTTGATTCTTAATGAATCTTTTTCTTGTCAACCGACAATCATTCCGGCGCGTTTTTGGTGACAAACTGATCAAAAAAATTTCATGTTTTTGGTTATCGTTTTTGCAGATTCTTTTATTTAAAGTACCAACCAATAAAGTATGTATAAACATATATATTTGTTTGTTCAATTACGCATATCTATATGTAGCCCATCACTCCTCAAATTCAATACACAAGGCTCAAATAGGGTTCTACTCTAAAACCAATTGGTAATAGAAAGAGTAATCCACTAAACTTATATATTGAGCTTGGAACTCTCCCACCACCGGTGTGGGATTGGGTTTGCACCCAACAATGTTGACTATTAAATCTAAAGCATTTGATTCCAGAGGATTATTCTTTTGGAGAATTATGCTTTGGAATTGATAGAATTGGCTTGGATTCAGTGGAAGTTGTATCGGGTGTCTTCCCTTACCAAGGTAATCAAAACACAAATTAAGGGCTAACCGATTTCTCTGTCTAATTGTTAGTTAATGTACATATTAAACAAATTCATCAACCACTTTTAATAATTTTTTGTCTTAAAATCATTGTCTAATTTGTCCTACTAAAATAATATATACAACAAATATAACAATCATGCATTTTGGGTAGAAGAAAAATATTAATCTATTCATAAGGACTGAATCCACCCAAAATCATAGACAGAAAACAAATTAAGGCCCTCATCTTTCTATATCCTTTTTTTCTAATGTGATTACACGGGGGGCTCATTCTATTTAATTCCATATTATTCCAGCAATCATTTGTTAGAGGTTAATGATTGAAATCAACCATCTTAAGTACTCTTTTAATAAATAATAATTCATTTTTCTCTTTTGGGAGGTACAACAACTGAACACACGGTATGCATAAATTATGTAACCAATTTTGTCTTGATTCCCTAATAATAATTAATGATATATTCTTGTGTCAAATCCTATCATTGTGTCACATTAGGTCGATCGACTATGATTTTTCACCCTATTTAATCAGTTTAAATAGGGGGGCTTTCTTATTTGTTTTTTTCTTCCATTTCTTTTACCACGACGCAAGGTAAAGACTAGGAGAAAAGAAAGATCGATTGATCTTTTTTTTTAATGAACTGATTAGTCAGTAATTCAGTGATTTAGATTTATAAGCTTAGAGCATGGTCCTTATCCATCACCGACAATTTAATATCGTCCACTAGATTTCAATTCAACATTTATTGTGATTATGCAACAAGATCATGTTCTGGAGGCACTGCTAACCGTTGATTTCTGTGGGTTTTGATAATTACTACCATCATCTTCTTAATCGTTATAGAATCAAACTGTTGATAATTGGAAAGAGTATGGACAAAGTTGAAAAAGTGGAGACATGAGGTCATTTACGTTACATTAGGCCATGCAAAGTTGTCCCCTTAGCATTTAAAATTGTAGAACTAATTAATTAAGTTTATGATGGCAAAGTTTTCCATACCTTCATTCACAAGTATTCTTATTCTTACTTTTATCAGCGGGTTGATAGACATTATCTGACTTTTGACACACTACAGGATCAGAGATTGTAACCTGGACAATACGTTTAGAAATCATTTTAGGATTGTTTTTTTTTTTTTGTTGATAATTTAGTATTAATTTTAATTTTCATCCCAATGAAAGAATATTGTTTATTGAACTAAAATAGTACTCTCTGTCCCAAAACGATTATCACGTTTGAATTTTATTTCTACTACAAATTGTACTAAAAGTGAAAGTTTAAACATGACAATTATTGTTTTTAACAAATTTCTGATTTCCCCCATGTTTTGTTCATTTTTTAAGTGGAGGGTACTATAAACCCTCAGGTTGTGAATGTAATCCTTGAACATTGTTATTCTTACATTGCATCGTTTTGATTATACTCTTTCTATCCTATAAAAATATTCACAATTTTTTTTTTGTAGGATAAAAAATGACCGTATATTTCAAGAGTCACTTATTAAAAGGAACGTTTTCTTAACAAAATTCACTCAAATCAATTAATCATTAAACTCTTAGGTTAGGCCTACATCATGATCTTTTAACAACACTCAAAACAGTTAGTTTAGGTTTTGAAATATTATGCATTTGATGTTCGAAATTGCTGCATCGATTAATACAGAATCAAGCTACTCTGATTTCTTAATTATTACAAATTATGTACCAATCAACAAGTTATTCCTCGGGCACCGGCCCTTCAATTAACACTGCCACATCAAGTTAGCCGAGCCAAACACAACAGCTTAAGTCTAGCAAATTACTACTTGCCCATGTCCTAGCAAAATTGCAAATCCATGTCAGATGAAAGGGAGATAGGACACGTGGAAAAGCAATGGGTGGAGGGGAACAAGACAATAGGCAATAGGGCAAAGTAGAGACCCACCAATGATTTGGCATGATGGGCATTTTGATTCTTGAGGGAGAAGATCAGTGTGGAGGTGATTATTAAGGGTAGAATTAGTAGATTGAAAAAAAAAATACTTTTCTCGTCTCAAAATTATTAACTAGTTTAAATTTTTATTTTTAATGTAAATTAAATTTAAAAATTCAAAATGGAGAATAATTTTAGAACCGAAAGAGTAACGAAATAAAAGGGTAGATAAGATCGATATATATAGAGGGGGTGGTGGGATGATGTTGGAGATAAGGTTTCCAAATTGTTGTTCCGGGCTTTACGGCCTGACGACCATTTTTCTTTGTGCTCTTTGTTTGGCTTTTGGTGCTTCCCATTATTTCTTTCACTTTGTTACCTACCTTCCTCAGTACTGTCTTCCCTAATGAAGCCAATCCAACCACAGTCTCTACTTGATTGATCAGTTGAATGTCCTGATCAATCCATCACTTTTACTTTCAATAATTATTTTAAACAGATTCCATTGCAAGTTAAACTGTTGAAGTATCTTCAACCTCTTGGTAAATCGAATAAATTATTTTAATTTGGGAGCGTGATTTAAATGTGTCAAAAAAAAAAAAAGAAAGTAAGACAATTATATTTGAGCACAGCCCAGTAGGTTCGAACTAGTAAAACAAGTAGCATAACCTTAAGAGGTGGAGGAATCATAGTCCCTTGAAACTATTAACCCTAGATATTTCATCGACCGCAACTATCTTTATTTATTTAATTTTTTATTTGATCGTTTGTTTAAAATGTTTCCGGGTGGTTGTAACATACACAGACTAATACTTACTCCTTCCATCTCAAAATTATTGTCCAGTTTGAGTTTTCATTTCTAGTATAAATTGTACTAAAAGTGAAAATTAAAAATGAAAAATAATTGTGGGATGGAGGGAGTACTAAATTTCTTGTTTTACCAGTTTCTTTTTTTTTTTTTTTTCATCTTTCCGTAACCTAGTAATTTCGAACAACCGATTAGGGCAAATTCTACTGGAGAAAGTCCATAAACCCTCTTCTTCTTATCTTTTTCTATTCGAGTATATCTTTTGCATGTGAATCCATCATATGGTCATCATTGTAGTGATTCCTTGCTTTCACTTCAAATCTTTTCACCTTAGCATGAGATTAAATACTTTCTCGTGGAGGCATCGAGAAAGAAATAATTGTAGTGTAAATTACATCGCTATCATTGTCACGTCGAACAGAAACTCATAATCGTGGACAAAGAAAGTCTAGTCAGAGTAACATTCTATATATCTGACCAAATGGGATACAAATATTCTTTGATTTCATAATTATTTGTAAGAGAGATAGCATCAGAAAGCCACCGACTTTTATCAAAAGCAAAACCCTATAGTCTACCCTACTTAAATAAGTTTCATTGTCTTCCTATCTATGTAGATTTTTTTTTAATAAAAAAAATCAAGAATAAATTAAATAAAACCTTCAATTTTCTCAAGGGTGAAAAATAAAATAGAAGGGTAAAATAACAGATAAATAGAAGGTGTGAGTGATTATTTGAGTGGATTTGGTCCACATTAGATATGGATGCCAAAATCCATCATGCATGATGATTTTTTCTTAAAAAAAAACTTATAGTTTGTGCATGGTACTGTAATGTAGCAAAGTTACGATGACATGTCGCTTGTTGGCTGTGAAGAGTGCAAAGGGTTATTGTGTTTCTGCTGATGAATTGGTTTATTTGTCTCAAAGATATGGCACAGGCACACAGGGGACCCAACCTCCATAATTTTTTGCAATTCCAGGGGCTGAACTTGGTACTCACCATATCTATGGAGATTGAAGTTGGACGAACATACAACCTACATGTTA